AAATGAAATTACCTGATTTTTTAAATTTCCTCCTAACTTTCCTAATCAGAGGATTTAAAACAGAGATTTAAATAATCCTGAGTTTATTGAGAATACTGTATTGCTGCAAAAATACTAGAAGAAAAGGCATCTTTCTAAAACAGATTCCCATTATATTCATACTGTCTTATAGACAAAAAGTAACTTGCAGGTTCAGTGACTCTGTATTGTGTTAAGGCTTTATTTAAAACAACGTTAATTCTTCCAAGTCTGATACAATATGGATTTATTAATATCTTTAAGTTTCTGGTATTAGTCCTATAGACAGAAGATCTTTAGAACCTAAACATATACTAAGGAAGAAACTTTCGATTTTCCATCAAAGTGGATGTAAAAGTGTGCCTAAATATTTAGCTTGACTAAATATGGTCTAATGATTCCTGAACATCATGATGAGTGAAAAGCATGGTTTCACCAGGGTTGTTCCAGTCCTCATTTATCAATGTGCTGCCATTATAGATTTATGATTTGTTTTTAAAAATGTTCGTAGCTTTCCTTATTCTTTCTATTTTTCTTATTTTAATTTTCATTTTTCAGAGAACTTTCTCCTTTCATCTTCATATTAATAACAAAATAAATGTGTCTGATAATCTGGTTTGTGCTTCCCATTTTTTTAGTTTATTGTTTTTAAAGCTAAGCAAGTAAGTAAAATCATTATGTCCCTTCCAACAGAGCGAATTGATGTAAAAAATATATGTTTGTTACAGAAAATGTGGGCAGACTAAAGAAGCTCGAGTATTTAAATATTGCTTTGAACAACATTGAAAGAATTGAAAATCTAGAAGGTAAGATTTTTAAACGAAATATTTTGCCTTTTCATTTTGAAACATTTAAATTGTGACAAAAAGGTGTAAGGTGTAATGGAGGATATAAGTTATCAGATATGTCCACCGGTAATGATACTTTGTTGACATCAAGAAGGAATCTTCATGGTCAGTGTTTCAGTTGTCCTTCTTTCTGGCAAATCCTTCCAATACTGAAATTTTGTGACTGTGGTTTCTTAAAATTACTTTGTTTTTCACCCTTTGCATACTCTCCCACCACTGTTGCCATCTCTGACATCTCTATTCTTTATTACCTTAATTGATATTTCAAAATTCTTCATGGACCCCATATGGAATTAGTATATCTGCAACATAAAGATGTCTGTGATACCAGATAATTAGAATGGTGTGGAGTTGTTTTAGTGCTGTCTAAACTCTAAAAAGAGTTTATCTTGTAATTCAACCATTTTCTTGACTTCAGTAGTTAAGTCTCACATGGGAAAGATTCACACTGTGCGCAGATTGCAAGAACAGTCTGGAGTATTTTTGTGGAGTTTTTCCAATTATTTTCTTTGTCGTTACATGAAGTAATATCTATTTTATCTCTGTTTAACCCTTTATCCTGTCAGAATCATCTACAAAGATCTGTCATTTTCCATGTACAGATTCTAAAGCCTAGCAATTAGCCTAGCTAGCTAGCCCAGACTAGCAATTAGTCTAAATAAAGTCAAGAAGGAAAAGATCTCAAGCTAGAAATGATTCAAATAATACAGAATGTGTTTGTAGATGGCTCTAGCCTTTAGATGATTCTGACAGGATAAATGGTTAAACAGAGATAAAATAGGTATTACTTCATATAATAACAAGTTGCTATAAATTTTTTAAATGTCCACCTTGGTGAGGGAATAGTGACAAAAATAACTTTTTCTTTTTTTACATTCAGCAAGCAATTCAGCAAGGTTGAAGATGCTAGTTTAAATCAAATGTAAAAAAAAAACACACATAGATTAAAGAGAAGTCTTTAAAAGTTGAAGAAATAGGCAGTACATTGCATATTTGGCAATTTATTGAGAAACTTGTATGTATTCTCATGCCAGTAAATTTTAAGGTCGTCTATCAGGCTGCATATTTATTACTCTAATTTGTAATTTATTTAGCAGTGAAAGCATTTGGGAGCGTGTCTTGCAAAAATATTGGATTATTTAAAACCCCTAATAAATCATTTTGAGTTGTTTATTCACTTTCAGCTCCATTACACATAAAATACTTGCGAAATAAGACTATCAAAAAAAAAAGTTGTGGTTATGGTGATGAGTACAGCAGTCAAGCTCTTATTTAGCTGAACTTTTTACTATTAGAGCAAATGTAGTTCATGGACAGATTTTGATAAAAATCTAAGATTTTTTTTTTTAAATCTTCAAATGATTTAACTTTGTGCCTAACTAAAACAAAACCAGAAAAACCCATACTTACTGTAGTCACAGTCTACAGTAAGTATGGGTTCTTTAAAAAGTAGTAGAAAGAGCAAAGCTGTGGCCTGGGGAGATACAGCCAGATGCAAGAAATGTTGTGTCCTCACCAGTGGCAGAACTGAAGGAGTGGGAAGGGTTTGGAGAACAGGATTTAATTGTCTGCACTGAGCTCAGTTTGAGGGATGGAATGTATTATCTTGTGTGGATATCTGCTTAGCCTTCTCTTTTTCATAGTGTACGTTTTGCCAGTCAGCCTCTGTGAAAGACAGTGAATGGAGAAGGAAACTTTCTGTGGATTTGAATGCCTCAGTGATAATTCATTCTTTCAGTAACCCAATTTTCCATTTTATTAGAGATGTACATTTATATTATGGGCAGAATAAATTATGTTTTTTTTCAAACAGGCTGTGAAGAGCTGAAGAAACTTGACCTGACAGCAAATTTTATTGGTGAACTCTCTAGTATTGAAGTTCTGAAATATAACATACATCTGAAGGAACTGTTTCTAGTGGGAAACCCATGTACTGATTTTGAAGGTTATAGACAATTTGTGGTGGCAACTCTTCACCAGCTGGAAGTAAGATTTTTTAAATTGTATATTATGTCTAAACCAGGAACCAGTAATAACAAGTAATAAATGATGCATTTTCCTTTAATAATAGCATTGTTGACTAAATATACAAAGCAAGCTAAATGCCTGTAGTAGCAACACTAGGAACACTTTGCTTAGTGTCCTCAGAATACTACCTTCTATTCTGAAGAGCAAGTGATTATGATAAATAAAGTATAATTAATAGATTGTTTATTTCCCCAGGTGCAGTTGTTAACTTCCTGTTGTTTCTATGGGAAATCTTTAAACAAAGCTCTGAAAAAATCAATACCCAGTACAGTTCTGGCCTTTTGCTTGTTTATTTTTTAAATACACAATATATTTTAAAGTATTTTCATGACTGCAGAAGGTTACCAGTGTGTTGGAACCGTGAGTTTAAATGTTTTGTGAAAGCCAGCAGAAGAATCAATGCCAAAAAAGAAAGAAAGGGCACTCAGTAACGTTGCTCGTAAATAGATACTTTAAGAATGAGGTTTTGTGAAATGAGTGAGCTTGGCTAATGACTTCTGGAATTATCCTCTCACAGTCAGTCTCACCTGACTTCTTAAGGAATAGATTCAACTCACTTCATTGGCAATACACTAACATAACAAAATAATTTTCTAATATTTTCATAAGCTGCAGTCTGATGGACACCAGAAATGGCTCAACGGAAGGAACAGAAGCAGCAAAGGAATCACCCCATTTAGCAGCATCAGACCATTATTTGACACAGATATTTTATAAAACTAAAACAACCATAAGGGCTGTTAAATAATTGTTGCAAAAGATAGGTTACATCTAAGCAAACCTTCCCGTGTAAGACCATGAATTTAAATGTAATGCTCTTATTTTTTTCCAAATACAGCTAGAGCTGTAGAGTTCTATGGACTTTTGAAAGGTGTATTATTAGTTTAATAGAGTCATCTTTCAAAATTAACCTATTATTCATATAAATACATATAAAATTTCTCACATGCTTTTTTTTTGGAAAGTGTTTGGATAGCAAGGAAATAGAACGTTCTGAGAGAATTCGAGCACTTCAAGACTATCCTGAAGTGAAGGAGAAAATCAGAGAGCAGGAGAAAGCTTACCTTCTTAAAAGAGCCAGAGAGAAAGAAGATGCTCAAAGAAGGATGCAAGAAAAGAAGGAGAATAAAGAAAATCAAATGCAATCTAAGCTTGGAATGGACAGGTAGACAGTAACCAACAGTATTTTGTAAATAGTTATCTCTTTTTTTTATTAAGAATTTTGTGTTCCTCATTAAATATCGATCATATAAGTCCAATCTTTCATTTGCCTTTTTTTTTTTTCATTGATTCTAGCAGGATTTTTTTCTTCTCATACATTTTTATCTGTATTGAAAAATAACTAACTACAGACTTGCAGCAGTACAACAGATTTTTGTCCTAAAATTACAAGCTAGCTTTTGCCAAAGTGGCATGATTGGCTTCCTTCAGTAGGACAATTGAAAACTGCTCTGTAAGGCAATACATATTTTCCAGTGGTTCCAGAGAAAGCAATGGCTCACCTGTAATTTCATTTGCTTTGGTGTTATTATGTGCTATGGATGAAATAGGATTTTACAGATCTTTTGAGGTGAAAAAGGCTATGGGATTTTATTTCCTATATTTCTTTTACCTAGTATAGTGAGACAGTGTAAGAAGTGGAATTTGTATCTGGGATCATCTTTCTTTGCAGTTGCCATTCATCTTATTTTTAGTCCAATAGAGTCTAAATTTCATAAAGATGGCTATGGAACTTACTATCATACGGAAGTATGATAAATCTAGATTTCACCTCATATAGTTAGAAAATTTCTGAAGTTTGCAGGGGATTATGGCTAGGGGAAGAAAAAGAGAATTCTGAAGACAGCACTTGAGCAGATGTCTAAGTAAAAAGTTGCTCTCCTATAAACTTATAATCTGCTGCTGCCTACTATTTGGGCTACATAAATATCACAGGAAATACAGGTTTTCTTTCACCTTTAAATTGTGAAGACTTCTGAAAATTCTGTCCTTGAAGTTCATCTGATGAAATATCTTTAGGCTTTCAAGGCATCACCATAGTATCACTTCTTAGTTAAGCTAATGAAATACATTCCGTCTAAATATTTTCATTAGTAGTAAAGTCCATTGTATTAGTATTCCATTGTATTTCATTTTATTGGAATAATATTCCCTGTGATCTCATATAGCCCAAACTCCCTATTTGACAGTGGAAACTATCAGCCAGAAAGAGAGCAACAAACATGGGAAGAAACTGATGAGGAAGAAGACAGAAGATTCTGGGAGGAGCCTACACCATATACGCCAGAATCTAGATTGGAAACTCACAGATATATTGAAGAAAAGAGAGCTAAAGATAGTATAAGGTATATTTTTGTTTTGATTTATTTTTTGAAGATGTGGAATTTTGAAGAGAAAAGAAGAGGTAAGCACCTACCTCACACTGAATGTCACTGAGCACTCTCAGCTTAATTTCCTTTTGCCTCTGGAAAAACACTTAAAAAATATAAATAGACTGTTCACTTTGTTTCCTTTTTCTAAACTGTATTCATAATTTCTGTTTTTTTTGTTTTTCTTCAAATTGATTTTATATTTATATACATATAAATATATATATACATATATGTATATATATAAAAACAAATATATACACACACACACACACATATATATGTATATATACATATATATATATATATATTTAGAAGTGGCATTTCGGGCACTGTTTCTGTGCATCTTATGATTTTTTTCACATACTTTATTCAAGATACCCATCCTAAGTAATAAGACTCTTTACATTTTCTATTGTATGTTGAAGATGCATGACCCCAATAATGCTTTAATATTTTTAAGGTTGCCACTGGTTTTGTCAATCATTGAGAATCAATGCAGTCATGAACAAAACAGTTTTTTTCTTGCTACAGAGTTTGTCAGTTTTATAAACAGAGTAATCCCTTCCTTTCCTTCCTTTCCATCCTTTCCTTCCTTTCCATACTTTTCTTCCTTTCCTTCCTGTCCTTCCTTTTCTTTCCTATTTCTTTGCTATTTTGAAATAAGCCAAGAATTTTTGGAGGAAAGCAAATTAAGTTTACATGCATAGAAAGTTTCTTTAGAAATGCTTATGTATACATCAAAGCAAATAAAAATATTGGTACATCATGATTATTGTGATTATTCATGGCTAGGAATATCTTCTTTTTTTTGAAAAAAAAAAGCAATCCACTGATATCTTAAGATAAATTTAATATATTACTATTTGATAATAGATACTCTGTGAAATATGAAAGAAGTTCAGTAATATTACAAAATATTAGCTCATCTTTAGATGATGATTTTACTGTACAGTTGGACATTTCATTTCACCTTTTTGTTCCTGAAATAAGTTATGTTAAAATACCAGATAATTTTTGGTCTATTTTTATCTTTTTTTTTGCTATTGAACATAGAAGATGAGAATGTGACAAAATAATTTTTCTTCCTGCTTTAAGGGAGTCAAAGAAGAAAGAAAAGCCACTTCGGACTTTGATCACCACAGAAGGAAAAGCTCTGAATGTAAATGAGCCCAAGTACGTAAGGAAAACAATGTCCTGAAGAAGTAAAGCAATACTAATATCTTCACAGTTGATTTGGTCTAGTATTTCAAGATATATGGCAATATAGAAATAAGAGGACTGAAAAGTTCTAATGTGCGGTGTTATATTCCTGGTGAGGAGTGACTGAACTGAAGTTCTATTCTTAGTCTAGAAAAAGAATTAATTTTCAGTCATTAAAGTGTTGAAGGGTGTTTAATTTATTATCTTTTACTTTCATGATTGAAGAACTTGTTTTTTCTGTAAAAGGCCAAAGATATTTTACTCTGTTCCCTTTTATGGTAAGGTTCTCTTTCTTTGAGCACCTTGGTAACAGTGGAAAAAGTTTAACCAGAGGCTGGATGTAGAAGATAAATGTGTATGAGTAGCTACTTTAAATGTGGAAAAATATGTCCAAGTACTATTTCTGAACAAAACCTTTCCCTCTTCTGAGGACAGTTGGAGACCTGGCAGAATTCAGCACGACACGTAATTCACTTGCTTTGCATGAGATCCTTTCCTTTGACACTGTGAATGGGGTCATACCCTGTCTCCTGTGTTCTGAATAGGTTTTTCCATCTTAAAACTGCCTTAGCTGCAAAAAAGCAAAGCCAAAAGCATGCTTACTGTTAGTATGAAGAACACTTTATTTAACTTGGAAGTTTATAAATCCATAAAAAATTAAGGGTTTCGAAACCTGCATTATAAGATCAATGCTTGTTTTTCATCAATGTAGGTAACATTAAAGATGACCAAAATATGTTTATCACTGTATTTGAGTACATTTTTTGCAAAAATATGTTGACAGAAGCACAAAAAAAGCATAGTCATTTAGAATAAAGCTTTTGTTGACTCTCTAGAAGAAATATGATCCCACCGAGTTCATTGTTAACATCTCTACTGTTCATTTCACTTGGGTTTCCTGGATTAGAATTTACTCTGTGGGTTGTCTAAGTAAAGCCAGATCACTGAACAGTTTGTACCAATATGTCTGCAACAAGAATATCACAGCTCTTAATTCAGTGCAATCTGGCAGAGTATTGCAGAGAAACACATTAAGAGTTACTCCTAAATGGATGCTGCTCTCAAAAATTTTTGCTTTCTTGTATAGGTCTAGTAAACCGGTGTCTTTTCGTAAGTTTACAAAGGGAATAACTGCATACTACTCAAAAAAGGAGGCAACTTCTCTTCCTCATTTCTAGCTAAGCTTCTGCCAAGAAAGTTTTGCAGTTCTTTTCTCATTCTCACTCTTCATTCTTTAGTGAATTCTCCTCAAAATCTGTATTATAAGAGAGAGGCATGAACGGGAAAGAAAAAAAAAAGTTATGTTTTATTCTTCTTTGCACTTCCCATTAAAAATACTCATAAAGTGAAAGCTCCATAAGCTTTCCTGTGGGATGAGTATATGAGAATACAATAGCGTAAAGAGCGAAGGGTATAGACGGCAAATGTTTTTTTTGCTGAGAAAATTTAGCCAATCTGAAAATCTGAACTAATTCTGTTATCTGAACCCAAAGTGTCAAAGTACTAAAATGTTCCTGAAATTTACCATATAAAGTTAAGCCTTATCTCACCATAAGAATCTCATTTGTTGATCTCTCTAAGTGGTTCTTAAGCTGGGACTTTTTTCTAACACTCTGGAAGCATTTGAAGTCCTTATTTAGTTTATCTCCTTAGAGTAATAATAATAGATGTGATTCTTTCACAATTTTAAAAACTCATCCAGCAGATCATAAACACATACTTAATAAAATTCACGTTTAAAAAAGGGTTTAAAGCTTGTAGAAACAAGGAGGTTCTTCAAACCATTCTTTATATCAGAAATACACAGCCATACATTTGTACTACAGACAATTTAATTGAACAAATGAACATATATGCAGATTTTTTACAAATTATGAGGTTCTTCGTTCTAAGATCTTCATTTTTTTCATGAACTTTCTTTCTGATAGCACTAAAAAATGATTTTACCAGCAGGTGTCATTCTTTCTGCACTGACAGACTGATTTTAATTAACTCATCTTCAGCACTATTTTTATTTCCGTGTCTGGGGAGTTGAGTGAGGACAACAGAAAATAAATTTCAGACTGACCCTGATTCAAATGCCAATAGTTTTTTCTGTTTGTATAATAGAATTGCAACTCTTTCTAAAATGATAATATGGCATATTTTCTAAGTGGTATTCATATTAATCCAAAATTGCTAGCAGCTTAATTTTAAGCATGCAGTAATGTTTGTTTGTGCACTCCGCTTGTATATATCCTGTAGGTGTTTCTTATCTTATTAGGCTTCATTTCACTTTGGAAGATGACGAAGAAAACAACCAATTCGTCTTGGATCTTGCTGTTTACAGGTCATGATTGTTATTATTTTTTTCCTTTTCCTTTTTACTGTTCTTAATTTCTGGTACCTAATATTTCAAATATACCCCTCTGTTCACTGGGACTTTGCAAGAGGAGAACAAATAATATAGTATTTTATAGAACCAACCTGGAAACCTCTGCAAAAGAAATGGGACTGTATAAACCAGAGACCCTTCAGACTGTTCTGTTCTCCTGAGTAAGCATAGTTTAATAGTTTAATTTTTTGAGTTTTCTGTTGTCCACATGCAGGTTGCCTCTGCACTTGTCCATTTTCACTTACGTAAAATCCCTTCCACTCTTCACTGGCACATTAGGATTATAGGGAATGGGGTTTTATGCCCGTTCCCTGGCCCCAGAACTGTCACAGTACAGTTCATGACATTCTGTTTAGATTCTTCTTGTCCTCAAGACCAGGTGGCCTTATCAATAGTGCCTGTTGGAAAGAGTCTATGGCTCATATATTTCCCAAATCATGACATGATGCTTGAAAAAAGTCTGGTCGAACCAGGCCAAAATATGACAAGGGATCCAGCCAACTGTTTGAAAGCAGAGTACTCCTAAGCAGGACTCTGTACTGGTGCTAAACGCTATCATGCCCAAGAACTGATTAGAAACCAAACGTCTTATTTACCCCTACTAGAAACTTGTAATGATAAAGTTTATAGAACATGTTTTCTAGCATACAAACACTCTTCATGCTAGGGCTTGCTCTACTTGAGCTCATTAATTTGCCTCAAAACAGAGCTACTCCATTGTTTATGAATTTTTAAATAGAAAATTGATGAATTTCCTATGAAATAAAGCGTTAAATATATAGAAAAATACTGCTTACTTTCAATGAAGTCAATGAAGACTTTGAAATCTTGGAGTAGTGTAATACCCTGGAGTTATATAGTGTATTGATATACCCCTGAGGTGGACTTGACAGAACTTAGACATTATTTTATTTGACATTTTGTCAACACATACAAAAAGCATATCCTTCTTACAAAGACTTTAAATCCTAATAATATTTTATATAACTTAATAACTGAAATTGCAGTTTTTAATTTACAACTTACAAAAGCATAATTAAAGATACATATAGTCTGAACTGCTTATTTGCTGGACTGTATTGTATATTGCATTCATTTATTTATATTTCATTGTAAAGACATCTAGACACTTCTCTGCTTGATGTTGATGTCCAGCCAACTTACGTACGAGTACGGGTGAAGGGAAAGGTTAGTGGATTTTTTTTTTCTACATTAATTTCAAATTAAGGGTTATAGTTATTGTGAATTTTGTTATTTATTTTCAGTGTTTACTTCGGGCCTCTTACAGGCCTCCAATGTGTTCTGTTGCACAAGAACTGATCTTTGTTTATTGAAGTTTGATGGTATTTTTTAACCAACTTCAGTCGAATTTATACCTGACTTTTAGTGATTACTAACCGTGTACATAAAAGAACCGGGTGCATAAAAGAAGCACTTTCCTAGTGGCATTATTTTGAACCACATATAAACTATGGAAGTGCTAACCAGAAAGGGTACAAAGTCTGGAATAAGATTTGATCCTCTTTTTCTCTCTCTCTCTTTTCTTTTTTTCCCCTAACAATGTACATCATTTACATCTGATGTAACATCTGTTACTGGTTGCCCTAGAGTATTGCAATTTTATAATCTGAAATTTATAGCTGGTAGAAATAAATGAATATATGTATATATATATACACACATATACATTTAGAAGGGCCTTTCAACTATCATTCTAGTTTTTGGTTTTTTTTCTTTCTTCTCAAAGATTATAATTTTATATTCATTTAAAAGAAAAGTACTCATGTAGTAAACCAAAATCCGTATTTATAGCTATACCAACTGCATAAACAAAACTTCAGAATTGCTTTACATCTAAAATAGACTGGATAATCATTCTCATTTAATTGCTAATATAAGTCAAGCATCATTTTATAACCTTCTTTAGAAATGTCACTTCAGGAATGAGAACAATTCAAGCATATACATGTACTGTACTTGTAAGTAAAAGCTGCTTAACATGCTAATCATTTATTAGGATTAGTAGTAATATATTTAAATCAAGAGGATTTAGATGTATACTGTGCTAAATATCAAAGTATATGACAGTGATGTTTCTGTGTATGTTCTGTTCAGGTCAAAAAAAAAAAGATTATTAATAATGTTACACTTCACTCTTTAATTTTATTTTAGCCGTTTCAGCTTGTGCTCCCTGAGGAAGTGAAACCAGATAGCAGCATTGCTAAAAGATCACAAACAACTGGGCATTTAGTTGTCAGCATGCCAAAGGTACGTAAAATAACTTGGAGAGGCATCATGCAAAGGTACTTGGAAGTGTTGGGAGTACTTTGGAGGTATTTCTGAGTTGTAGGTAGCATCTATTGATGCTCCAAATTTTGAATTGGTTTTAAAAACTACCGATATAGGAGGGACACAGAGATGTATGCTCTACTACCTGTATTGTCAACAGATCCACACTTCCTGGATCTGCTGACCTAAGATGCGTATGTTCCCTTGCAGCAGTTCCACTAAGTAGGTATAGTGACAGAATCGGTTCCCTTTCTCGAGGATTCAACAGAGTGAACACCTGGTATTTTTGAGATACCCATCATTTTCAAACTCTGGTCTATCATAGAAGATGCATTGATATTACTAATATGTATTCTAGGAAGCTAAATATAATGAATAAAGATTAGCAACAACTGAAAGCCCAAAAGTTATTTTTCTTGCAGAACATTGTGGCCAGCATTATCAGCAGTGGTTCAGAATGCTAATTTGATATCATCAACTCAATATTCATTCCTTTCAGTTGTACGATAGAAAAGCCAAGTTCATGCAAGTTTTTCCAGGATGTATCAGTGATAAGACAAGCCTAATTTCTCCATTCCATTGTTTTTATAATCTCTCTTTTCCTGATAAACATTTTTTCTCAAAATTAAATTGTTTGCAACTAGATAAATGGTCTATCACATTCCTTTTGTAGTTGAAATTTTAAGAATACTACTAAGAATAGACTCCCATGTTAGGCTTTCTGCAATACTATGAAAAGACCTCTCTCTTATCAATAATAGAACAAAAACTAACCAAATCCTAAAAGAGTATTTTTTACCTACTTTAGTGAATTTCTGATCAAGTTGCTAAGCCTTTCAAGATTCATGTTACAATCTGTTCATAGTTTCCTGTCTTTAAAATGAGAAACAAAATCTCTTTTCTTGCCTCTCTGAGCTTGCTACACCGTAATGCGAGGATAGTAATTTCCAAGTGAAATAAAAGAAAGCATTTTCACGTTTTAAAAGTTTATTTTTCCCTAAATTGATTGCAGAGTTATTATCTTGTTAAGGCAGTCCCTACCAAAAATTTTTGGAAGGTCAGCAAAACACATGCAAAATATGCAACATTTAGTGAAATTAAATAGTGCCAATTTTCAAGTGCAGTGTTTACACTGTAATAATCTTAAAATAATAAGATTAAAAATACTGTTTTCACAAATTCCTTCTATTTTCTCAAATATATGAAAGCTTCTGTCCAAAAAATCGATTTCTAAAGTTCTCTGGGTTATGTTCTTAAGTATTCTCCTTTCTATTTCCAAACAATCCAAATAGCGGTAGTTTAATTTCTATCAGAAGAATTTATATCGGAAAGCTTCATTACATTTATGTATTCTTCCTGTGTATCACAGGCCTTAAATTTCGTTCAGTTATTTTTCTACTGAGCCTAAAGTCTTATATTTGGCCACAGTTATATTTATGGAAGTTCTGTTTTTAACGAACAGTTATTCTCACTTGATCTAACTTACTAAGAGACGGATAGTCAACCCATGCCTTGGTGAAGCTCACGTATTATTGCATATTGAGATGTGCTTCACAGATGAAAAAAATAAGAAAATATCACTTAAAATTTCTCTTGAATTTCTTGTCCCTTGGGTAGAGACAGTAGGACATCTTTTGAGCCAAAGAAGTTTTGAGTGAAATGATATTGGATAATTGATAATAGGTGCTGTGACAGTCAAATCCTAATCGTTGCCGAAGGTCCAGGATCACTTCTTGTCAAGCAGGCCCTTTCAATCAATTGCAGAATCAGCAGGTTTGCTCACCATCCTTGACAATGTTCTCTGACGGCAAAGAAAGGAACATTACTCTGGAGGTGATCAAAGAAATGAATTACTTTCACAAAATCAGAATATTATGGGATGTTATTCTACTTGGAACTAGAAACTTTATAGGCGGATTTGAAGAGAATGCGTGTAAATCAATTGTGCTAGAGATAGTACAATGGACTGTTTTAGTAAAGCAGCTGAGAGAGGTTGTGGTCACCCAGGTCTTTTTATAAGGAATGAAAGAAATTCATAGAGCAGCACAGACTTTCACATTAATTTCTTCAATAAAAGTGTCTGAGCAGGGATGCCAAAACTGAAATACAAGTGTGAAGTGCATCATGAGCAACTTCTCTACGAGGAGAATCAAGAAGTGCATTATTAAAATGTTACTAAAAAAGACAACATATATTCATATATTTGTGTCTATATATGTATTTTCACATGTATATACGTGTGTGTATATATACATGTCCTCATTATTTAGTTAAATATAACTTTATTATATATATTTATAAGTTATATAGTTAAATATATCTGCTTAAAATTTCCTTATGCATGTGTTGAGTGAGGAAGCATCAGGAAGGGTTAAAGTCTTAACAGAATGAATATCAGACGCGAATTCTTTTTTTTTTTTTACACCGTTTATTTTCTATTTTAAAAGATTATTTAAATGCTAATGAGCCTAAATCTCAATATTTTTTTTTTTGGTGAGAATTATGGCTGTGTATTTTACTTTTTTTATTTTAGGCTAATGGAATAATCCTGGCTAGGCAAAAAGTGTCAACTTCAATCAAAACATCTGACAGCAATACACCGCAAAAAAACACAAGAAGGTAATTCCATTTTTCCTTTTCTGTTAGTTTCACTTTTTTGTACCTTCTTTATTCACTTTCCAGAATTGTGCTGCTTATTGACTAAGTTATTGTTGGAAATAGGAAAATATTGATTTATATAGAGTAAAGAAGAGATTTGGACTAATGGCCTGTCTGGTACGTTATAAAGTTATCTGCTCCAATAACAGAGCCAAAAAAGTACTTATTTCTGCAATCAGTTTGTTCTATCAACTCCTTCAGATCATTAAACTAGAATACACGAAATCCAGATCACCTACTGTGAACTGCATCTGCAGGGCTCCTTGCTGTGTAGCCCAAGTCTCAAAATTTTCTGAAAGCAGCAGCTTTGAATCTCTGGCATGAATTTTTTGTATCTTTCCCATGAAGTGGTCACTGCTAAAGTATATCAGCTGAGCCATTTCACTAAGAAATGGGATCGAAAAGCAATTTGGCAAGATTATATAACATAGGTCCATCCTATTAAATGAAGTGTAAACTCTGGCTCTTGGAGTCCATCAGCCAGTGATTGCCAGAAGAAAGCAAGTCTTAAAGGATGTACTATTTGTTATTCTTTACTCCTAGCAAGTGACAATTGGTGATTTTTTTCAAGGCAATTTTTACTGGCGGTTACTAGAGACGGACACTGAGGCAGATATGTACCACTGCTCTGGTCTGAGCAGGTACAGATACTATGATATGTATTCTAAACTTCTCCCCTTTTTTCTTACTTTAAGCAATGACATTCATACCAGAACAAGCTATAGTAACAGGTAAGTTTGTTAAGTTCTAATACTTGAAAGGCTGTGTTTGTTTCCTTGTTTGATTTTATTGTGGTGCATACTAATGGAAAAACTAAATAGTTAAAATTGAATTATGGATCCTACAGATTCTTCTTGGTCTCATGATTTAGGACTCTTAACCAAGTGGCTACCAACAGTCACTTATGTCATTATTTTTTATTTTCTTATTAAAAAAAAAAATACCAGCCTTACCTTCTTTCTCTTGAATGAACCTGCATGTTGAGTAGGTAATAAGGTGCTGCAAGGATTTGTGAAGATATTGCTAATGACATAGAACCATCGCACCCTTGATTATAATTACTTCTTGAATACTAATGGTTTCTAGTATATTTTAAAAGGTCTAAGACAAAGTAGTGGATACTTACTTTGCAAAAGCAATGGCTCTTTCCAGCAGGATTTCAGCTGAAGCCTTAGAAACATCTAAAGAAATCAACAGAACTGTCAGTTTTTCTGCAAGGGAAAACAAGATCTTCCCTGTTTAGATACCAGACACAATCTGTCTTCCAAACAGTAAGAGCAATGGGGACAAGTTCCCTTTCCTGCTAACTGATGATCTAAAGCTGCTCCATGGCATAGTAAAGGGACAAATCCTTGCATTTGACTTCATTAGTTTTGAGCAATTAGGAGCTTGCTTACTGAAATTTTGGAAGCAAAAATACAAATTTTACTGTTAAATTTTAGAGGAATACACGTTACAAAAGCACAAGTGGGAAAGAAGTATTTTGAATTACAGTTTTTACTAAAAATAGTAAGTTTTGACCTCTTCAGCTGGAAAATCACTGACTAGACAGATGTTAAAATTTGTTGAATAGTTGTCTCTTAGATTACAGAAGAACATTCATTACAGTGATTTCATTTGACAGCTACAGATATGTTAGCTAAATCCTCTGTCAGACATTTAATCTACTAAACTATGATGCAATGCTTTAAATCTTTTAAATTCTTGTTAGCTTGATTACGTGACAATACTATTATTACTTCAGCCACATAAAAGAGATTCCTTCAATGGTTGTATTCAAAACTATTTCAGATTTTCAAAGGCACAAGTTGCCTTGGAAGGAATTTGATGTATTGATTTATAAAGCTCTTACATATATAGTAGCTGCAAATGCCATAGTCTTTATTGCATGTGCCTACACAATTCATCTGGGAGGTAGAAAAGCTGAATTTGCCAGAGTTTCACAGGAAAAAGTCAAATATAGGAAAGGCCAAGAAAAAAATGATGTTTTCAATCATTTTATTGGATTTTAATTCTAATCTTTGTCTACACGCATTCAGTGATAGATTTCTTTTGTGGGTTGCAATTCTGCAGTGATGTACAAGAATTAATTTACTTACCTTGGAGAATTATTGCTTATTTTTAGTTCAGGTCTTTTTCATTTATTGACAAAAAAAAAAAAAAGCACTGATTATTTCAAAAAATATTTTCTTTGTCAAAGGAGATCATTAGAGATGAGACTTAGTACTGAGAAGCCCTAATTTACTGCTAGACCTTGACTTAGTTTGATTCTTTTTGGTGGAGAGGATGCAAAATACAAATCTATTGGAGAAAACTGTAGGTGAAGGTGTAGGAATCTTTTCTTATGTGCAAGGAGTCCTAATTTGAGTACTTGAAAGAATCCTTGCAAAGTCCTGGAGTATTCTCTTTCCTCTCCATGGACTTCATGACTGAGCATAGAAACATAACAAACTGGAGAGAACATGGAATCATAGAATCGTTATGGCTGGAAGAGACTTCAAGATCATCAAGTTCAACCATAACGTGATGCTGCAAATATGCAAACAGTAGAATAAAATGAATAATGTGTTAAGATTGGGAATGTGAGATGAGGTGAAGTCAGAACTTGAGTGGAGATGCAGACACGCACACATGTGCACGAGGGAGTAGCAAGAGGATTTACCTGATCTTTCAAAACCAGAATTCACCATCACTTCTGCTTCTGCACTAAACATCAACATTTTAACTTGGAAAAAACCCAAGATGTATCTGAAATTTGGCCTGAAAAAGAGCTGAAAAAATATGTAGAAAGAGCACAGATGGCAAATATATTATTTGTCCTAATGGCATGTAATATGTGGTCTCCATAAAGACCTGGCAGTAGATTGCAAATCTGTGGAGCTGAAGAGCATTACAGAAATACCTTTGCAGGCTATATAGCTTGTTAACTGCTATGAAGACATGAACTTTCACCATGCAATTTATGCTGGCTGAAAGGGGAGTTCAACTGACCTCTTGTTCAGGAAGTGGATTCAGGTATAAGCAACATGTTAAAGAGGCTTTTTACCTCACTTAAGCATAAAATGTAGTTTCATCTGCATTCTCATCAAGACCAGAACTAATCAAAGTGGGTGGTATACACCTCTGTGTGATTCATGATGAAGATGAGAGGTGTGGCACCTAGAGGAATGATTTAAAAGTTCATTTGCATGCATGAAGATCTGGTAATCCATGACCGTAATAAGAGTGAAAAGGTTTTAAAATAAGGAGGATAGCATATTCAAGAGCACCAGTGAGTTAAACTTTGATTACTACAGCTTCAAGTCATCTTGAGTAGTCCTTATCTGAATAGGACAAAAGTTCAAGGGCAGGTGTATTCACCTCAGTAATGCAAAACATGAATCTCACTGTGGAAATGACCTATGGATAAGACCATGAAGACCTATGATTTACCTATCATCTCCTTCCTTTTCTTCACCAAAAAAACCCTTCAGCCTAGAAAACAGTCCTAAGTTTTTTACAGTCCTTTTCATAAAGATATCATTTGTCCCATCCTGTATTAACATACCCAAAAATGATAAACAAAAAGTGCAGTCTTCCAACAAGTCAACTTCGAAACATATACAGAATATTTATGAGTATATATGAACATGACAAAAACACTCTCTTTTTGGATACCCGAATCCATGTTGCTTCTCAGTCTATCCTGTTGTCAGTCACTGATAGGCATTTGTAGATAACATGCGCAGATTACATCTTGAGAATGATTGATGTGTGTAATCCTTTCTTAGATTAATGACATGGCCTCATACTAACAACACTCGCTGTTAATTAGTTTCTTTTGTATTTAAGCACATTCTGCTAGTAAGCCACAAGCTATTCAAACTCCATAAAGTTATTATATTTTCATGACCAGTAATTTGTAAAATTTCAGAGCTGTTGAGCAAATGCAAGCTATCACTAGTAATTAAATACATCAAATCAAGGAAAATACTTTCTACCATGTGACTGAAGCACATACTGAGGCTAGTGAATTTTCATATTTATGCTTTTTTAGCTTTAGAGCTAAAAAAAGTGCTTTTGGGTGGCAAGTTCACACTTCTCAGAAGCATAACATTCTGGACAGAGTGTACTCATTTTGAGGCCTCCCCAATAGCTAATAATAAAGTGAATCAAGGCCACAGCACATTTCACAAATTATACAAAAGCAAAGAAACAAAAAATTATTGCCTCTTGGGAATAAACGTTTTCTAGAATGTTGCCACAAAGTGAATCCACTTCTATTTCACTAAGAAATAATAGAATAATAAGAAAAAATTGAAGAACATCCAGGGTGATGAAATAGGAAGAGTTGTCTTGCATTTCTCTTCATTACCCATAAAATTCTCCTCTAATAGTTTTTCTTTGTGCAATTTGTGCTTATCTGGATTATTAGAACAGGGGGGCTTCCCCAGTTGTCCATAATCCTGAGTTTAGAATTGTGACCCGATGTATCACACGGGATAAAAGAAAAGTTAGTATTGGGATGTACAAATCATGTTGGAATTTGCAGAAATTAGAACATCATTGTACAATTACATTTCATTTTTTCCTATAAACAGTTGCAAATTACTTGAAAATAGATGACCTTTTTCCATGAAAAGGTCTTAGCTCCTCTGTTGGAGAAAAACAGTGGTTTTAAATGCTGCAAGGCAGTAAGTATTGGAATATTTAAAATCTCTGATAGTGATGCAGTATCTGCAACCCTGTTAAATGGACTGTACACAACTTTAAGTGAGATTTAAAAGACAATGAAAAGAAAAGCAAGAATTAGGTGATACAATCAAATAAAATAGTGCAATTATATTTTCTCTCTAAATAAAGGTGTATTTCTACTTTTACAGTTTTAATCTGTAGAGCTTAATAAACATTCCTGTGAAGGTACTGAGCTAAAAATGAAAGACAAAAAGAAAGAAAAGATAATTATGCTCAAAATTTTTATTGCATCAGAAGTCAAACATTTATAATGTGATACCAACAATCACCATCTTTTGAATTAAAACAAATCATAGATGCCAAAAAAAAGCTATTGCAATATTATTAGGCTAAGGTTTATTTTCTACCAAGTCTTAAGGATTTCTCTGTTTTTGTGAGTTTCTGCTAATAGTCACTTTATAATTAGTATAATCTCTTAGCCCTTCTTTAATTGCACTCAGCAGCAAATCTCACACTAAAGTCAACAGGCTTATAAACAGCCCCGAAAATAAGGCTGTTAAATTTAACGCTGAAATTAACTATTTTCCGTTTGTTTCCCTCTTGTTACAGAAGTGGACGAGTTGAGAAATTAGAAGTGGATCCTAGTAAATATTCATTCCCTGATGTGACAAAGATAATCCAAGAGAAGGAACAAATTGGACAGGGACCTGTTAGTTTCCAACCAAGGAAAATTACGGAGAATGAGAAGAGTTATGTTGATGTTGAAAATAATGAAGAAGTTCCACCCTTAATTTGAAATGTCGTTCTCAAATTCCTTTGTATGTGACCAGTATCCCCAAGTTGTTCTCATGACTCTATATGTAATATAAGCATTATATATTATAACATGCTGAGGTGGGAGAATATTGCTACAGTTCTTATCATAAAGTTTGTTAAATTTGTGTTTTATGCAGGGTTTTCTGTTAATATATTGCTTCTATAAATTCTGTTTTCTTCATTGTTTCCTTACTAAATCTCAAATCAGAATGGGGCTATACAGGTCAGATACTGTCACTGCTCCATGGAATTTACTGTCTACCTTAAATATGTGATTATTTTGAGTAAACTGAAGCTACCTGAAACCTCTGTGGATCCCTCCCCTTCCTTTCCCTTGTGAATATTTTGTGGTTGTACCTTATTCACATCTTTAAGATAGAAAATTAAAAAACAAAACAGGTTGTATAATACCACTTTTGATGTCACAGAACATTTACATATCCGTAATGAAAAATGTAGATTATTTTCTGCTTCTCACATAAAACATGTAAATCTGAGAGATAAAGTGTTAATGCGTGAGTCAAAAAGGACATTGTTTTGCTCTCAGATCTTTGGCAGAATTTTTCTTAACAGTGATGAGGGGAGAAACTTTCTTACTTTAAAACATCTTAATTTTTATGATAAACTGTTGTGAGTTATGTGCATTATCCAGCCTCATTTTTTTTTCACTTTATTGTAATTATGTGGATTATAGCCACAGGAAGTCCTAAAGCTGATACTTTCTTATAGAACTTTGTACCGTAGGAGGAAGATAAGGTAACAGCTAATGTATTTTTTAGCATTCAGATGGGCTTTATTACCATCTTTATTAAAACTTCATGTTTTAATTCCTTTCAAGTCTACTTCCTTTTTTTTTTTTTTTTTTTTTTTTTCTGGAGTCTGAATTTGGCTGATTTGGAGTTGGGTGAAGAGAGGAAACTCCAGAACCACTGAGATTAATAGGTTTGTTGCCAGATGATCCAAAGATGTACTTTCTATGGCTTTACTTACTGGTGTTTGGATTTTCTGATGTTTCTTATTTTGATGGACCTGTCAAGAAGTTCAGAAATTATGGAGAACACATAAGACACATTATGGAAAACACATAAGACACACAGTCTGATCATTTAGGATTGTTTTGTTCTTCCTAGGATTTTCCTATCCTAGAATAATCAAAATTGACCCTCTGCTGTCAAACCCAAGGATAGTTTTATTAGGCCTTTCCCCATTCCAAGTTAGTTCTCTATTTCATCTAGTTTCCACCGGATAAATAACACTCTCTTTTGTAGCTCTTGAGCTACAATTACATCTCATGGGGAAATTAATAACTGGTGCCAGAATTCATGTGGAGCTCCTGAATGAGCAGCAGGTGCCGTGATCTTAGGATCCAGTCTAAGGATGGGGTATTTTTTGAGAGCCAGCTCCAGCAGAAGTGTCAGTTGTGTGCCACACAGAAGCCAAGCAGAGGTTGACAGCAAGGATTCCTCATAGTACAAGCACAGGATGATACCGGAGGCCCATAAGAGCAGAAACAGAAATTTTACGTTATTGTCATTAAATGCAACCCTGAGAGCTGGATAAACCAACTTTAAGGAATAAGAACGAGAACAAGGAACATATAACCAACATAGATAAAATATCCCCTAAATGGTGAAAATACGAAGATCATAAAAAGCTAGAGAAGGACAAGGACAGAGGCAGAACAAAGAAGAATAAACCTTAGCACTGTCTCCTCGGCTAAGGACATGGCACCTGATCAATGCCAATGATTTTCAGGACATATTCAGCTCCCTCACTTTCAGCAGAAAAATCACCACTTTTTGATTTGCCATTTGCCTTATTTTTCCACTGCAATCTCAGAAATTGTATGTATTCCTTTAAGCATTTAAGAATTTTGAACAGTACCCAGTGTGTGTATGTGTGTGTGCGTTGCCATCTTTCACCTCTAACTGTGGCTCTGCGAACTGGGTGACTGAATCACAGACTCACAGAAAGGTTGAGGTTGGAAGGGACCTCTAGAGATCATCTAGTCCAACCCCCCTGCACACGCAGGGACACCTAGAGCACGTGGCACAGGGTGGCATCCAAGCAGGTTTTGAAGATCTCCAGAGAAGGAGACTCCACAACCTCTCTGGGCAGCCTGTTCCAGTGCTCTGTCGCCCTCACTGTCAAGAAGTTCTTCCTCACATGGAGAGGAAACTTCCTGTGTTTCAACTTGCACCCATTACCCCTTGTCCTGTCACTGGCCAACACCGATAAGAGTTTGGCCTCATCTTCTTTACATCCTCCCCTCAGATGTTTGTACATGAATCCAAGCGGAATGCAGCAGAGGGGTCTATTGAGGAGGTATGGGGATAAGTGCAGTTCCTAGTAGCATTGAGAGTAATGATGATGTACAATGATGTGCAAGGACCTTGGATTTGCCATGGAATCTATCCCTTGCTCCAAAGCTGGACGATGGGAAGACAGCTTTGGATTTGCTTTGTCTGAAAAATGAGTTCTTCATTTTGATGGACAAGACAGAATATGTCTGAGGAGGAGTCTGAAGGAGTCTGTTTCTTCCCTGAGTTATGTTGATCCAGGAAAAAAAAAGGAAAAAAGCAGACTACAGACAGGAATGTTATACTGTATCTGTATGAAACTATGCTGCGTATAATGCACATACTTTATTACAACTCTTCTGGAGAGAAGCACACTCCAGAATAGCCAAAGCTTGACTCACGACTGCCTTTTGCCTTGTAGTCCTAGGTGCTCAGTATGGACATAGCAAAAGGAGTAGGGATAACTTCTTTGGACATGCAATGTCTGCTTTCCCATTGCATGTTTCTAATGAAAATTCCCTTTAGGGCAAGCCAGTGAGTACCAAATACATTTCTTGCTGGTTAATGACTTGTGAAAGAAAACCCTAAGGTAGCCTGAGTATTACTCTTTTTCTGAGCAGTTGCTAAGTCCAGCTGCAAACTGTCACAGCTTGGCTGGGTTTGCAGCTCTAGTCACATCTACCCAAACTTTATGAATCTCACTTGCAGCGGGTCAGGCTCTTTCTTTTAAAATACACCTTTATAGATAGCATGCTCTACCTGCTGGTGAAACCTAAAATACAGGCTGTGACATGGACAGAAACTACTGTGATTGCCAGGATTCTGATTGGAGCCCATCAAAGCCACAGTCAGGTTAAGCTTTAGAAGGAGGTGCTAATGGTGGGAATGTGACAAAAGAAAGACACTTGTGCAATCAGGATCAGAAGCATTCTGACTGCGTGGCAGGCAGCAGATCCCATGTACTGCATGGAGCTTTCTGAGAAACAGGTTTTCATGCAATAATCATAGAATCATAGTTGGAAAAGGCCTTCAAGTCAGATCAAAGATCGTCAAGTCCAGCTGTAAACCCAAATGAAGAAGCACTGTGGTTTTGGTTGGAAAGGATTCACTGCAGGTAACATTTATCCACCATCCTAATTATCTCTACTCCGTTTGCAGGATGAGGTACTGGAGCCTAAGCACTGATTTGGGTCCAGAAAGTTACTGTTTTTCAACAGCTTCCTGCATGAGTGCGCTTCTAACCTCCTAGGAAGGCTGGAATGCCACATTTTTGGATCTAAACCACAACGTAGATGGCATCATGCTTTCTCCTACTCTTCAACACATAGGATTTTTAGTCATTATTTAACTATAAATGTTTGCAAGTAAATATATTTTTTCTGTTATGGAATCAACTGCAGCACGTTGGGCCTTAGCTCTCCCTCAGACCTTGTGGGTGATAATGACATGGTTTAGAACTGTCTCCTTCCGGTATTAGAAATGTGTTTTAAAAGGCAGAAATGACCAAGCAGAGTTTGAATAGGGGTAATTTTGCTATTAGCTGCACAATAGCGCACAGGACCTGCAGTCATCAACTGGGATCTGTCTCCCAGTTAGATTTTGTGCAAAATGCTCCTGCACGAAGCAGCTTGCAGTCCAGTCCTGTTGGAGCTACAGAGCACACCAGGCTCCAAAACTGTTTCCTGGATTGGTTTCAGAATCACTTTACAATTATTAAAAGTGGTGCAAGCTTTTAGCATTATCATTTAATATTGATCTATGTCCCTAGTTTCCTTTAAGCATGAATTAGCTGAGCCAGTTTTAAAATTTATGATAATTAGAAGAAGGAAGGGAAATCATGTTCCTGTTGACCTAAGCCTTGGAGATGTTACTGCTTCTCACTTTAACAAGGAGGCTGGACCATCTCCTGCGTTCTGCCTCACAAGCCCTTTCTGAAGACAGTGGAGACCACGTTCCTTCAGAACAGAACCACTCTTGGACAGAAAGCTTCATGTGACCTCACATGTTTCATTAAAAAAGAAAAAAATCTACACCTACCATAGCGATATCATATGTTATAGCACCAGCTCTCTCCTTTTTCTAGGCATCAGGCACTTGCCCTGAGATGAGTTCAGATATTTACAGGGCGGCGCCTTTTCCATACACGACACTGTATCGATGTAACTCAAACTTCAAGATCTCCTCCTCCTTTTGACAATAACATTTCTAGTGTAAAGCATAGTGATATTGTAAACAAATCTGCATTAGGAATTGCACTGTTTTATCAGGAATGCAACTTTCAGCATAGAAAAGCTTCGGCACCTTAGGGGGACCCCAAATCTCTGAAATTATAGCATGTATCATATGGACAGATGTATTGAAGAGCTCCATGACTCTGAACTGTTGGCGTCTTCCTCTTCAGAAACTCTACAGAGATAATATATATAGAAGAAGAGGCTGGTGAACATTTGATTATAAAAATGTGGGCTGTGGCTACGCTTTGACCCTTGTTTGTCTGCTTCCAGGGCTAACCATCTGCAAGTCTACCAGCAGGATAATTCTGCCTGTTTACAGTGTACATAAATTAGTGCTGGCTCCTCTGGGGCTGCAGCCAGGCAGGCAGCCATCTGACTTTTAAACTAAGTATTTCACTCACATGGATAATAAAGTTCCAATATGCTTCCAGATTTAAATGAAAATG